AAAGATATGTCATTCAGCCTTATAAGAGAAGGAAATCTTGCTATATGCAACAACATGGATTAACCTGGAGGACATTATGCTAAGTGAAATAAGACAGACACAGACAAATATCACATGATGTCACTTACATGTAAAATCTAAAACGAAAATATGAACTCATACTAACAGAGAGTAGAATGGTAGTTACTTGAGGCTGGAGGAGTGGGGGGAAATGAGAAATAATTATCAAAGGGTACAAGCTTTCACTTATGAGATGAATAAGTTCTGGAGACCTAATGTATAGCATGGTGACTATGGTTAATAATAATAGATTATACACTTCAAATTTCCTAAGAGAGTAGATCTCAAGTGCTCTTATCACACACACACAAAAGGTAACTATTGGAGGTGATGCATATGTTAATTAGTTTGATTCTAGAAATCATTTCACAATGTATATGTATAACACAATGTACACCTTAAACATATACAACTTTTATTTGCCCCAAATAAATAAAAATTTGTAAAAACTGTGCAGGATTGAGACTGGTACCCTTTGTATCAGTTAGAACTCTTCCAATTGCAAGACATAGGTAGACACCAAACTTTAACAAAAACAATTTCATTGGCTCATTATTAAAAATCTGTGCTTCTTTTTAGCATTGTGCAGTGCCAGAAAGTAAGGAAGTGCTTAAAACACACACACACACACACACACACACACACACGCACACACACACGCACTGGTGGGAGTATATCAAAGGGGCACAGGGGCCAACAGAGAGCTCCCAATGATGACAGCTGGAAAATTTGAGCAATAAAAAAAAGAGATAGTTTTGATTATAGCTCATAGTAAACAATAAATATCCACAAGTCTATATTGATATACGTAAATGATTGAACAAAGTGATAAATAGGAAAGAGGCAAATATCTCGTGCAGAAGAATTCCAAATAAATGTACTCCATCCTAAAGGAGGTGGAGCATAACTCACCACTCCATAAGCGTGGACTGTATGTTGTGACTTCCTTCCAAAGAGCACAGTATGGAAAGGAGGGACAAAAAGAGTAACTTTACAGTGGAGAAATCTAACACTGCCTCAGACAGGTGATCAAAGCCAACATCAACCGTCGTAAATCAGTGTGATAACATGTATTCTTGATATGATGATTAAAATAGTGCTTAACCTCTGTGACCTTCCTCACCACAAACCCCTAACTCTAATTTGATCATGAGAAAAAGATCAAATTCCAATTGAGTGGCATTCAGCAATAGACTTGACTAGCCCTTCTAAAAACAGTCAGGTTCATCAAAAACAAGGAAAGTCTGAGAAACTCGTCACAGCCAAGACGAACACAATTACTGTAACAGCCCACGCTTTATTCTTTTTTTTTTTTTATTGGGGAATTGGGGGGATGGGAACAGTGCTGGGGAGTTGGGGGAAGGGGAACAGACAAGTTGCTGTCGTTTTGTTCTTCAATCTAGTTGTGGAGGATGTTGCTTCACTGGCCCAAGTTGGCACCATCATTGCGCTCTTCTCTGGCGAGGCAGATCAGTCGCCGGCTTCTGGACGGCCGCTCACTGCGGCTGCTGGCCGCTCACGCTGGCTGCTGGCCACACACGGTAGCCCATGGCAATCCGCTGCCACAGGGACTGCAGCCCACGCCGTCGCCGGCGACTCATGGCAGCCCAGCTCCAGGTTGAGCTGTTGTTCAGCATCTCAGCTGCAGAGGGCAGTGTCACTTGCCCTCATATGTGGGATCCGAACCGGGGCCCTCTGGCATCCCAAGCGAGTTCTTAACCATCGCGCCACTCGGCCGGCCCCCCACGCTTTATTCTTAAATACAAAATATTAACATCAGCAGGTATCCACTAGGGCAGAGGTTCCCAAACTTTCTCAGTTCGTGGGCCTATAGTGTTTTAGTAATTTCTTTCACAGCCCTCTTAGGCCAAAAGAAATACCTAATGACTGCATTTATTAAGTAGTTAGGTCCAAATAACTTAATAGTAGTAGCGTGTTCCATGTCTGACAGATGTTGCTGTTTCCCTTTATGTCCAATGGAAGTCTCTGGGTTCCCACAGTGTCCCCAAGAGGTTGTGGTAGTCCCATGGAGCACCTTAGCGCACAGGTGAGGAATTGCAGCTCTAGGTGTTAAAACTCTGACAGGACATACAGGATGATCATCACATGGCATGACTAAGCTCAAATCAACTGATTGGATAATGTTTAAACTCACAGTTTCCATGTCATGATAGAGTGTTGCATTGGTTAGTTAAATGTGAATTGTCTACCTTGCCTCCACCTCATTATCACAGCAGCCAGATCATATTATAGTTCCCACCATAATATCCCTCACTCCATAGGCCAGGGAACCAGTGTGGGGAGTCTGCCAGCTGCTTAGTACATCTATTCCAATTATACATTCTGGAACTGGGGGGGAAAAATACCACAGGATGAATTTTGGGATCCACTGGGCTCACTGTGAGATGGACTTGAGCTAAAACACTCCATTGATCACCTGATTTTCATAAGCCCCTCCTCTGACTGGTGGGACACAGTGGGTCTCCTAGAATCAGTGTCAGTTCAGAGTGCCTGAAAGCTCTGAGTATTTCCTCTCCCCTAATACACAGTGACCCTGGTAAACGGCCATAGGTCCCTTTGGGGAAGGCTGGGAGAAAGAAGAACAGTATAAATATTTGGTAGTGCACTGGAGGCCTTCCAAGGGAACCCAGCCTCTCTTTCATTCAAGGGGTTCTGGGTCTATAAACTGGCTCAAGCCTGAGAATTGATTGAAGGGCCATAATTCTGTTTTTAAGATTCCGATTAGACTTCCTTCACTTGACCTAGAACTTTGCTGCTCATACAGAACAAGTAAGAATTCAGTAGGCTTCCGATCCATTTCAGCTCTAGGAAAAACATGATCAGCTAGCTAACACCAGAAGTCTGCGTGTCAGACTATCCTGATTGCTGCTTTGTCCCTGCTGTCCATTCAGGACCCTCGCCCACCCTGCCTTTGGCGGTTGAGTGCCACCACTTGGCCCCTGTCATCCCGGGATCCAGTCACCCCATTGCATGTAGGTTTCCCAGGTCAGTGACTGCAGTTCCCACTGTGAGGTCTGGGCTACAGAGAAGCGTGATCGCAGCGCTCTCCAAGGACACCAGGGCTCCCCTCAGGAATTTATTCCTCACCTTCCAGGTGAAAGGCATGTGCTCTGCACCTTCCCAGGTGGGTAAGTAGGTCTCAAGTGACAAATCCACCCTAACATTCCAATCTCTCTAAGCCTTTAATCCCTTCCTCTACAGTAAACCAAGGCAGGTCTGGCATTTCAAACTCACCATTGTGGGTCTCCTTTTGGCCCATGTTTGGTTGGCTCAGCCAACCAATCAAAAAACTGTTAGAGGGCCAGCCGAGTGGCGCAATGGTTAAGAACTCGCTTGGGATGCCAGAGGGCCCCGGTTCGGATCCCACATATGAGGGCCAGTGACACTGCCCTCCACAGCTAAGATGCTGAACAACAGCTCAACCTGGAGCTGGGCTGCCATGAGTCGCCGGCGACGGCGTGGGCTGCAGTCCCTGTGGCAGTGGATTGCCATGGGCTACCGTGTGTAGCCAGCAGCCAGCGTGAGCGGCCAGCAGCCGCAGTGAGCGGCCGTCCAGAAGCCGGCGACTGATCTGCCTCGCCAGAGAAGAGCGCAATGATGGTGCCAACTTGGGCCAGTGAAGCAACGTCCTCCACAACTAGACTGAAGAACAAAACGACAGCAACTTGTCTGTTCCCCTTCCCCCAATTCCCCAGCACTGTTCCCATCCCCACAATTCCCCAATAAAAATCTTTAAAAAAAACCCCAAAAAACTGTTAGAGTGCTTCCTAACGCTAGTGATACAGATGCAACATTAAAAGCAATGCTAGATGCAGAATCCCTGCTTCGTGAGCCCATATCAATAAACTCTGCCCAATCCAACTGCATGTTCCTTCTAGCATTATCCCACTCATAATATCCATTCCCACACATGTGCCCAGGTTTCTATCTGTATAAATAAAAAAACTCAAATAGTTCTTTTGGTGTGCCGTGCCTCTCCCCATGGGTCACACTCTGTACCTCACCTTTAGGGGCCTACTGGGACTTGACTCTGGTTATGGGTCAAGAAGGCAGTGGGGGTGGATCCTAAAGAGAGTCAGCCTTGTCTTGCTTGGCAGCTGCCTTAGGGGAGGCCATTACGCTTCCCCAGGCAATGCAGGGTGAATACCCTTAGACGGGGGTGAAGAGGTCACTTTTACTGGGGGTGGAGAGACTGCTGCCATTGGCAAAGAAGACTCCTCAGAATTTAGAGGCTCAACATCAGGGTCTTCTCAAACACCCACATCCCAGCTTTCAGGATCTCATTCCTTCTCCATCAGTGCCTTCACTTTAATAGTAGATACGCTGTGAAGCCGGGAGTGCAACTCTGTAATTCAGCCAGTCACAGGATGAGATTGTGGCTACAGGAGATAAGGGTCTCCTTCAGGGCAGATGTAGAAGTTTTCAGGTCATTGGTGGGCCTTAGGCATCACAAGAGTTAGAACCACAGACTTTTGCTAGAATCCCCAGGAACAAGGTTCTCTCTTTCTACTGGGGCTGCTAAGCTGGTAGGCTCCAAACTGGAGGTACTGGTGGTCATTATGGCCACCCCTTTGGCAGCCCTTTTGGAAAACAGTCCCTGTCAACCCCTGTTGAGCTCCTAGATTCAGCCATGACTGAAGCCAACATACCATTCCTGTTTTTTTTCTGTTATGTACATCTACAGCCCTTTTTGGTTTGAGTTCAGTAACTCGCCTTCAATGGAAAGATCCTGACTAACACAGGGTCCCCAAAGGCCAGTCCCCAAACCAGGGCTCCAGCCTGCCTGGCTTTCTGGTTCTACTTTCTGTTATCAGCCTCAGTTTAGCATTTAGCTCTAATCTGTAGTCTCTGCTGGTGGCACGTTCTCACAGCCCTCCTTGGTTGAGGAATAGCATTTGTTTTATTATCGGTAGAAAACGCTAGAACAGCATGTAGGACAGAAGGCAGAGCAGGAGCCGGAATTTGGGGCTGCCTGGCTCTGGGAATTCTGAGGCCTGGGATCTCATCAATTTGTTTTGGAGAGGCATTCTCATTTTCTCAGCGTTATAGGGCCTTCCCTCTATCTCAGTCACCTTCTTGATCCAGGGGCTGTAATTTTCTAACAAGGTGTATATTCCTGGGGTGTTCTTCTTTCCACAGCTCCTTCCCCAACTGATGATGCCCACCTGGTACCAATTCTTGCCAGGTTCTATGGTACAGACGAGAGGCCCCCCACTGTCACCCTGTGGGCAGAGAACATAGTTTAGTAGCAAGTCCCATTCAAAACTGTCCATTTGAGGCAGGGCACAGCTCAGTAATGGAAGAGGACTCATTGACCTCTCCTACTCCAGGCTGCCAAAGGAAATCGGTCATTGCTGACCAATGCCCGCCCCTCTCCCATGTCTATGGCAGGAGTGTGCTGCTGTCAGGCTGGTTCTGGGAATGGTAGGGTGTATAGTAAGGACGGTGGATGAGACAGGACTGAAGAGGGTGGAGGAGGGAGAGCTTGGTGAAAAAACGCTCCATCTGCAACACAGTGAGAGGGGACTGGAAGACGGAATAAGTGTTGCACAGGCTGCTAGAAGAGTAGCGACTAGTTTTGTGGGTCTTATCAAATCAGAAGCCCTGGGAAGGGTTATAAAGGGAAGGAATGAAAACAGATATGAGAAATGCTGTTGGGGTTGTGGGTATGAATGGGGCCTCCTTTGATGGTCTTCCAGAGGCGTGAGGGAGAATGATGTTCTTTTTTCATTCTTTGGGGTGGGTGTTTGCAGGAGGCAAACGAGCTAAGCTTTTCAGAATGTGTGGTCCCTCCAGGGTGGGATCACATGGTTCTATGACTCACATGGCTATTTATACAGAAAACATGATCCAAGTCCCTACCATGTACCACACATATACATGGCTTCCCTTCATCTATTTAATACAAGGAAATGGAGGAGGATGAATGAAGGGTTTGCTCAGGGTTACATAGTAGCTAGGCCAGAGTTGGAACCAGAGCTTCCTGACGCCAAAGCACACATTCTCTCTACCTTGCTACTCGCCTCTCACGGAAGGAGCTGTGTATAATCGTTCAAATGGTTTTTCTTTAGTGGAGAGATGGCTCCCTTTCCATGATCGTAAACAGGTGACTAGAATGAATGAAATCTTATAATGGACTCTAACGGGGAGAAGGAAGATTAACTTCCTGGACAGGAAGTACAGGGCAGTGTGTTAACCCCTTGGCTGTTTTTTTCTCATCAACCTCACAGCCTCACATCTCTGTTGAGGTAGGTATTTTGATTTCTGTTTTATAACTAGAAAATTAAAGGTCAGAAGAGGTTTGAGCACTCCCACTTAACAACATGTTCATTGAGGAAAAACTAATTGTCAGGCATTTGGGATACAAGACCGTATGGTCTAGTGGAGGAGATAAAAATGAAAACAAATGGGACCCACTGCATTTGATGGGACAGAAGCATGAACAAGATATGGAGGTAGTGCAGAGGGGGAGGAATTGATTCTGTTAAGGGACAGTTCTGTCCGAATCGACTTCAAAGCATTTCATTTGAAAGGCGAATAGGAATTTAACAGAAAGAGAATGCGTGGGACCTATTGGAGAGGAAAGGGACAGAAGTTAGAGAGACTAATTAAAAGGAGGTGACAATGATGAGAATCTGAACCAGGGCATGAGGAGGTCAGATGGGCAGGGATGGATTGAAACCCACATGATCTGGTGACTGGTGACATTGGACATGGATGTGTGAAGAACTAGCTCTAAGGTCACAGGGTGTGGTTAACAACGATAAAGTGCAGAGGGAAATAATGAAGAAATTGTGTTCAAATGGAGTTTGGGTGGACTGTGAAAAGCATCACCAACCAAAGGATTAAACAGAGCAGAATTAACAGAGCAATCGGAACTCAAGAACACACAGTAAGTATGGATCTAAACCAAAATTACCCTTTCCAGTATGAAATGTTGCCTCTAACACTTAACTGTTGTTTTTTTTTTTTGGGGGGGGGTGCTTTTCTTTGTGCTAGGCCTGTTTCAAAGTCATGGGGCAAGAACCAAATCAACAGGATTTCTACTCAAATAGTTTGTTCTGTAATGCTGTTTTTATAATTGTCTTCAATTTTATAAATGCATGAATGTTCTAAAAAATTTTTGTTAATATGTTGCCTTTTTTGTTATTTACTTACATAACAAGGAGAGAACTGTCCTTGAGCAAATAACTTTTATAAGTTATTAAAATGTCATTAAAATGGAGATAATACCAACTACTTCCCAAGATTGCTGGCAGTGAAATTTTAACAAATCTATATAAATCACTCAGCACAGTGTAAATGCTATGTAGTAAATTATCCAGAAATGTATTAGTATTATTATTTTACACTTACATATTACAAACATTGCTTGTATATTTAGGAAACAGAGATTCCCTTTATGAACTGCTGGGACCCAGAGGGACATCTATAAATAAATACATGATCTTTTATGCGTAAAGCCTTTACATTTTTTTCCCTCTTCCTCTCGGAAAGAAAGCAAGAAGTGCCTAAAAGAAAGGTTTGGCTTCAGCCAGCAAGCACCTGAGACAGATGACAGCCCACTTGAGGGGGACTTTCTTTCAAGGACTAAGACTAGTAGCTGGGGACCTGTCTGGTTAAAGCCTCCCAACCACAGCTGTGAGATAATTAAACCGTGCATGTGCTCACTCTTGTCCTTTTTGGGATAAAAGCACATGACCTGGTTTCTAGCCTGGACACACCGCTACCTGGACGAAGGGGAAATCACTTAAATTCTAAATCCCTGTGTTTTCATCTATTTAAGCAGGGACAGTGAGACCTGCCCAGCCAATGTGACAGGGCAGTGGAGAGACCAACATTATTGAATGTGTATGACAGAGCTATGAAGTTATTATACTGCTTTGGATCCATTCAGATAGCGAGGGAAATGATTGATGATTAAAATAACCATGCTTTGTCATCTGTGAAACAGAGTTTTGATTAAATATTTTCTATATTCTTTTTCAGCCCTAGAAGTCTGTGATGCTAAAAGTCTAAGATTCTATGGAGTGAAATAAGATGTTTGTGCAAGTGTCATGAGTGATGTGTTCAAAGTAACACCCTGGAAAGTAGCCCAGGGCAGTGATACTACTCTGTATGATATTATAATGGTGGACACATGTCACCACACATTTGTCCAAACCCTTAGGATGCCAACACCAAGAGTGACCCTAATGTAAACTATGGACTCTGGATGATAATGACGTGTCATGTGGCTTCCCCAGTTGTAACAAATGTACCTACCACTCTGGTGCGGGATATTGATAATGGGGGAGGCTATGGATGTGTGGGGACAGGGGATATATGGGAAATATCTCTACTTTCCTCTCAATTTTGCTGTAAACCTAAAGCTGCTTTAAAAAAATAAAGTCTTAAAAAAAAGTAGCTCGGGTCTAAATCCAGGTCAGCTTGGTAGCCCCATAAGCACACTGCCTAACAGCCCAGTGGGCCGCCAGCTCATAACCCCCTCTCCACCTGCCGACTCCCACCTCCTTCAGGACCCCCTCAGGTGTCCCCTCCACGAGGGCTCGTTTGCTGACAGATAGGTGCCAGCTTCCTTGGAAAGTTCATCTATTTGATTAACATTTGCAGAGCATTTTTCACGTGCCAAGCACTGCACTAGGCACTGACAATTCACACGTGAGTAAGACGCCATTTCTGCTGGAGCTGGGGAGACAGATGAGAAAGCAACGCAGTACACTGCGGTGGCTGGTGCTAGTCCTTCACAGAAGTATCATGTTACTTGTTGGGATATGTTTGATTCTATATTTTGCTTGACTATGCCACTTAAAAATTATTATTTTTTAAAATCGAATTCTTTTTTTCCCCCCATAGTTTAATCTTAGGACATTACAAAGAAAAAAAGTGCTGGGAAAAGTAAACCCCCCCCCAAAAATCCAATTGTTTTCCATTTTAGCATTTACTTATAATTAGTATTTTAAGCATAGCATAATCTTACTGCCATTATTTTGAACATATTTAAATGTTTTCATTATAAAATGATCCTTTCCCTTAATTATGTGACTCCATGCTTTTTTAAAGTTTGCTAAATTTAAACAGTGATTTTATTTGTAAGGGCAGTTATTTTTAAACCCTAAGGGGTTTATCTGTTTTTAGGTGATGATACTATTGTATAAATTCTGAAAATTTTCTTTGACTGGATCACTGTCAGCTTATTGCTGACAACAGAAAGCTTTCTAAACAGAGAGCAAAGCTTTTCACTTCACACGTTTTTTAAAAGGCTGAAAACAATAACAGCATATTTATTTATGGCACTCGTAAGTAATAGATGATTAATTTTAGAAGCTTTCATTAAAGTACATTTTGATAGGAGAAGGATTGAAGCAAAATTCCTAGATTCCAGATGGGAGATCCAGCGACCAAAGCAAAGAAAGGGTACAGAACATGTCACCAAAGATGACACTTGATTATTTTAAATTTTGCCACATTTTGTTTCGGCCATTTGGATATGGGATGGCGTTGAATCAAAGAGACTGCAAGGAGCAGTAGGAGGACGAGTGGGGCCTGATTCTAACCTTCTCGGGTGAGCAGTAGGAGTGACAGCCTGGGATAGCAGCGAGTCTCCCACGCATGGCACAACCTCCCTTCGTGATCTTGCTCTGCTCGCCTCTCCAGACTCTGTGTGTTACCTTTGGCTTCTGAAGTACTGGGAGCCCCCTGAACACAGGATGCTGTTTCAAGCCTCTGTGATTTTTCCCACATTCTCTCTGGAATGCGCTCTCTTTCCAGTCACCTGATCTATTAAATGGCGTCTTCCCTTTTCTTTTGATATTGGAGCCCTATGTCTCCGGTTCCATTGTTAACTGGTTGCCCCCTAGGTCTATGACATGGCTACGAACTGAGATCTTTCTTTACTGCTTCCTAAAGTTTGGAAAGTTTTGTCTTCTCTGTTTTTTATTTTTGATATAATGGTAGATTAATGCAGTTGTACGAAATGACACAGAGTCTAGATTCCATGTACCCCTTTCGTGTCACCCCCAACAATAACATCTTGCAAAACTATAGGACAAGCGGGATATTGACGGTGATACAGTCAAGATACAGAACATTCCAGTCTCGACAGGGATCCCTCCTGTTGCCCTTTTTACGTGACATCCACTTCCCTCCCACCCCCAGCCCTCCTGAAACCCCGAGGCAACCACTAACCTGTTCTCCATTTCTAATTTCTTTTTTTATTAATTTCAAGAATTATGTAAGTAGAACCAGACAGTGTGGGACCTTTGACAATTGGCTTGTTTCACACAGCATTGAGTTTGGAGATCCATCCACATTGTTGCGTTATCAGTAGTTGCTTCTTGTCATAGCTGAGTGGTTTGGATGTACCAGAGTTTATGTAACCATCCACATCTTGAAGAACGTTTGTTGCCAGTTTTTGGCTGTTATGAATAAAGCTGTCACACACACTGCTGTACAGGTTTTTGTGTGAACGCCAGCCTTCATTTCTTTGGAATAGATGCCCCCAGAGTGTCATTTGCTGGGTTGTATTAGCAAGAACATGTTCTTTTTTTTTTTAAGAAACTGGAAAACTGTTTCGCAGAGTGATTGGACTATTTTTAAGTCCCACCAGCAATATATGAGTGATCAAGATTCTTTGTATTCTTGTCAGTCTTTGGTGTTGTCACTATTTTTTTTTTTACTTTAGCTATTCTGAGAGGTGTGTAGTACCTGATTGTGGTTCATTTGTTTAATGACTGATGACGTTGAACATCTTTCCATGTTCTTTCTTATCTGCCATCTGTATATCATCTTTAGAAAAACGTCTGTTCATGTCTTTTGCCCATTTTCTAATGGAATAGTTTGTTTTTCTACTGTTGCACTTGGGAGTTCTTTATACTCATATATGCAAAGTATAATTCTTTTGTTGGATATTATCTCCCAATCTGTACCTTGTCTTTTTATCTTTTTAATAGGGTCTTTCATAGAGCAAAAGTTTTTAATTTTGATGAGGTCTGGTTTATCAATTTTTTTCCTTTTCTGAGTTTTTGATGTCAATCTATGTCCAAAAGATTTTCTACATTTTTTTTCTAAAAGGTTTTAGAGTTTTACATTTAAGTGCGTGGTTTTAGAGTTTTACATTTAAGTGCGTGATTCATTTTGAATTGTCTTAATTTAATTTAACCTGAGAATGAATAATTCAATTTTTTTTAAAAAAGGATTCTTTATTCAGATTTTTAGTTTTATTTTTCCTATCCTATGCTTATCAATCACTTGAATCTATATATGTTAGTGCAACTATTCCAGCTATGACAGATCCTGTCTTGAGTATTGTCCTGTGTATTAGGTTACTAGGGTCTTGTTCTTATTTAAATCTTCTGTTTTAACAGGACTCTTATGAAACTGGAGTCGAGGAAAGGGAATACCAACTCCACCATTGGATTGGGGTGGAAATCCAGACTCCCCACTCAGGCCAGCAATGACACCAAGGAGAGGAGCAGGAGTGCCCAGTTACACCTGGGTGGGATGCAAGCCCTGCTCCTCAGGGGCCTCCACTGCCATTGGGCAGGGGCAGAGGTGGCTCATTACTACTAGATGGAAGTCAAAGTCCTGGCTTTCCACTCAGCCTCCTCTGACACCACCATGGCGGGCAGCAGAAGGGGGCAAGTCGAAGTTGTTCACTTGACTTTGGTTGATGGGGTAGGGGGACTGTGAGGTCTTTCCTCATGTTTGGCTAGAATAGAATATTTATTGTCAAAAAATTTCTGCCTTGCTAGGTTACCCCTTTCCTGGTCCAAAGAGAGAGAAAGCTTTCTTGTTTTGTTTGGTTTGGTTTGGTTTTTGTCTGTGCCCATTGGCATTTCTGGGTTGCAGGGTTCTCTAGAATCCAGTCTGGGATATATCAGAAGCAGAAAGAAAACCCAAGGAACCAAAAAACAAACAAACAAACAAACAAACAAACAAACAAACAAACACCCAAGGAACCCACTGCTCTGTCATTTCTTAAATCTCAGTGTGTCTTCTTCTCTCCACCTTTCAGAGCCTTTGTTTTTGTTTTATAATATAAGGCCCACTGCTTTTAGCTGTACTTAGTGGGAGGGGTTTGGAGAAAAGTGCCTACTCCATCTTGTCCGTAACCAGAAATTCTAATTTTAATTGTTTGTTTTGCCATGTTTTAAGTGGTCCAGAATGTGAAGAAAACACAAGGTTCCTATGACATTGATTCTGTCTCTCTTTTGGCTCTCCCAGTATTCACCACATGAGGGACTCCTTTTTAACCTGGTGCCATTGCTGCTGGAGTCCCGTCGTCCTTCCTCAGTGCCCCTTCTCCATTCTCTGCTCCATCCATGCTCCCAACCCCTATCCCAGCAAGTCCCTCCCAAGGCCCGATCTCATGATCTTCCAAGGACAACTACCATTTCCTAACATTAAACAATGAAGATAGTTTCATGGAAAAAAATACTCTCATATGGATGGAACTAGAGAACATTATGCTAAGTGAAGTAAGTCAGTCAGAGAAAGACAAATACCGTATGATCTCACTTATACGTGGATTCTAAGGAACTGAATGGATGGGAGACGTGGACGGAGATAGTCTCAGAGACACAGAGGAAGAACTGAGGGCTGTTAGCTGGGAGGGGGCGGGGATGAAGGAGAAGGGGAAGGGATGAGACAATACAAATTAGTAATTACAATATGGCCTCAGGGATAGAAAAAGACAGTCTGAGGAATATAATCAATAATGTTGTAAATATTTCTTAGGGGGCCAGATGGACTCACGTCCTGTTGGGGAGACCACTTCATAGTCAGTGTAGAGGCCTGACCACCACACTGTATTTCTGAAGCTGATGTTGAATAATATTGTATGTCAACTATAATTATATATACATATAGTCATGGGACATGGAGTAGAGAGTGGGAATGGAGTCAATGGAATTGTAATAGATAAGCATGATATCGGCGGGGAGGGCAATAGAGGGGGAGAGGGGGGTTGTTACTTTGTGAGGGTGAAAAGGATAACTATTGCATTGTTCTGTACACCTGAAACTAACAATAAAAAATTAAAAGAAAAAAATACTCTCCTCTTCCATGAGACAGCCTTCCATCACTCTACTGAATATTTAACACCTGTGTTTATAGTTTTACACCAATGATCAGATCCACTGTCTGGCCAATGAGTACGATTAAGTGGGCTTATCAGGGTGATCCCTCCCAAGATAAAGAGAACATCTTTCAGCTTTAAATACAAAGTCCATCACCATCCTTAGAGCCAGAGGAAGCTATTAATAATTTCCAAATAGTATTTTTCTATACTTTCTAGCATCAATCAAAAAGTGGTCTACTTTTTTTATTTTTGTGTTCATTTTATTAAAGAGAAGCTAAGATACCACACTTTGGCTCAATGAAACACACAGGCATCACTCAATATATTATAGTTGTTTACTCACCTGCCTGCCCAGGAGATTGTGGGCTCCCTTAGATGAGACACCATGTCTTAGTCATGGTTAAATCCCCAGGGCTTACTATGCTCAAAAAGGATAGCTCAATTAATGAATTAAAGTGTTTTCTTGTACGGATTTTAAATCCTGCTTGGATTGTTTTTTAAAGAAGCCTTAATAATGAAAAAAGTCTTGGAGCTCTATTAACTAGTGTACCTGGAGAAGACCTCAAATATTTATGCAGGGTTGCCACATACTGACTCCCAGGCACACGCTGATATTCCAAGGACCTGACAATGAGCACTCCTCAATCCGTGTCCTTGTTCTGACAGCCAAACCCTGATTCCCACACATTTTCCAGACTCTTATTGTTTATTTCCAGTGGAGAGAGGATACCCTTGCATTAGCAGCCCTGAGGGGATGGGGACCTATATGATGAGGGAGGGGATATTCCTTCTTTACCTGGCAAGCATCATAGCTCTCATTTTCGTATCCAGCACAAAGCATATTTTCAGTAAGTTTTGGAAACAGCTTTGAACATTTCCCCCAATCCATGATGATCATTGGCGCTTTCATCAGATCAGTTTTCATAGAGTTTCTGTCATCTGGCCCACAGAGAAAGCACATTAGAAAAGTCACTGGACAGCAGTCCCAATGTTGATAATGCAACTGACTGTGCCCTAGACCACCCTGAGCATCCTTGCATCCCACCAGCCACCCATCCATCTTCCTTCACCTCCTCATATCCCCTCACACTCTCCTTCTTTCCAGTAATCTCACACAGTTTACCCACTTCACCACCCCAGGTGTTTCCAAACAATTCTCCACCTACTTGAATCGTTCCTCTCATTCAAAGTCAAATCCCTGCTTCCAAGAAAACTCCCAGCTTGACTCCAACCAGACCTATAGACTTGATTTCTTGGAACTGGCTATTGATCATTTCTCAGCATAATTCTGTCTCTTCATCCTATCTGCCAATTCCCGCTTTGAATTATGAGAGCATGGTCATTCCCTAATACAAGGCTGCTGGAAGAGGGGTTGCACTCCCAGTGGACAAGTTTCCAGGTCCTCTAGGTAAGGATTGGGCTGGCTGAAAGTCTTTATGGGGGATTTGCCATGGCCCTTTCCAGACAGCTTCCGGGAATCTGAATTCCTCTCCATGTCATTAACTCTGACCACACAAAGATTTCAAAATTCTTCTCTTTACTGAGTAGTTTAAATATTGTATACCTCCTCCTCCACTTCTAACTTTTAAGTAGTTCCTGGAGCCCAGAATCAATGTTATACCAGATGCTGTCTAGCTACTAAACTCCTGAAATACCTCCCATTTTCCAGACCCCAGCTCATTACAAGGCATTCCTAGGGGCCTAGTGTCTCTTTCAGGCCTCAGACAGTGCTGTGCTGTTCCCATCCCCTCGCCTACCCATTTGCTTTTGGTTTTGTTGAGTTTTCTTTGGGGATAGTCCAAGGTTTTGTTGAATTTTGGGGGTTTTTTTTTGGGGGGCGGATTTCTTTCATAATCCCTTTCTGCCCTGGTACAGTTCCTTTTATTTTGGCCAAGTAACAATAGGTAACAAGTCACAACAGATTAGTTTCTGAGGGTGCCTGGGCAACATTCCAGGGCCATCAAACATGTAGGCCAGGGCAGGCATCCTGAATGCCTGCAGGAACCAGGTGGGACGCGTCCATGTGTGAATCAAGGGAGATGTGAAAGGATGGAGAGCGGAGAGGCCCCTGACAAACTTGAGAGTTTAAATTCAGTTAGACAAACAAGACTGCTCTGTACTGGCTGCAGTCTTGGGGACTGGCTCGGGCCTGGCATCTCAGCTTGGGGACTGGGAGAGTTGCCTCTTTGGTCCTCGGAAGAGGCTGAGATTGGACCTCTGCACGTCTCTGCTGTGCAGGGATTTGCTCCAGTGCAATTCCTTTCCCCTTCCCTCCTTCCTCAGTCCTCTTCGCTTTTCACCCTCCTCCCTTCTTCTTTAGATTGAGTGGCCCATGCTCAGGTGCCCGGGATGTGGCTCCTCCCCCAGCAGGTCTCAGGAGATGCTGAGCAGTCACGTACCAGTTTTGGTCTGTCCCCATCCTGCCACCCAGCATTCGTGCCACGTGGAGGGGCTGGGCTTCCTAGGTGTGCAGATGGGTTCTTTCAGGCCGCTGAATGTGATGCGTGAGTTCAACAGCAGCAAGGCGATGTCATTGTCCATGTTCAGGTTTTTAAAGTCCTTGTGAATAACGATGGTGGTGACTCCCTTTATTTCCAGGGATGGGCTCTGTAAGTTGTTGGTTCCCAGCACAACACTCAGGTCTGTAGGGCTGGCAGCATAAAACCAGAGAGCGGAAGCTGGGAGGGGAAGGAAAGCCACAAAGCACCCAGGATTGGCTGTGCCTAAAAACATCTATATCCCATATAGTTCTAGGGGCCTTTAGGACTTGTCCTACTGGGGCTGTTGCTCAGAAGATGGGAGAATTTGAAAAAGGTAAGGAAGGAGGTGTGGCAGGCCACAGCTACGCCACTGCCCCAGCACAGTACCAGAGATGTGAATGAGAGACTCTGGCCTACTTGTACAAAGGCTGAACTTAGCTTTGGGTGCTCCAAAGAGCCCACAAATAATAAATAAAATAAAATAAAATAAAATTATACATTAAAATAAAATAGAATAAAAATGAAAACAAAAACCACCTGGCACAAGTCAAACTAGCCCTCAGATAAGTGAGGTATTATTACATTGATTTGTCTACCAGCAACTTCGAGACCCCAAGACAGAATTTCATCTAGACTTGCCACTAAGGAGAAAGAATTGTCAGGAACTCCCTCCAGACAGAATGGTCAGGAACTTTCCAATAGCCCATCTTTAAGTATCCCATGGGAACAGGCACGACAAGATTCCTTAGTTATGGTGTGATGAAACTTCCCCAGCTATCTGATTAGCCCTTTAAATTTAGTCTGTGTGTACCTCCAAACTTACGTGAGGTAGTGTCACAAGTGCAGCAGAAAGCACAAGCCCTGGACCCCGGATTGAAATCCGGTTTCTGTCTACTAGGTGTGTACCTTGGGTGACTCACCTAACCTTATTGGATCTCAGCTTCCTTCTCTGTAAAGCAGGGCTGTTTGTTCTACCTGCCTCTGATGGCTGTTGTAAGATTGAATGAGTTAAAAGGGGGTTGTTCATTCTATCTGTCTCAGGGGTATGGCAGGATTAAATAAGTTAATGCAAGTAGTTTTTTTAGAAGGTCACTGGCACATGATTAGCAACCAGTAAATGCTAGATTTTCCACCAGTCTGCTGGAGTACAGAGAAAAAACTCTACAAGAAGCGGGGAAGTAGTGTGACAGATTGCCCAGTGATCCAGACTTCCAGTATTAGGAAACTTTCTTCCTAGAAGGACTTGACTGACCGAGGAAAGGTAAACAGACCAAGCCCTTTGGCTCCACCAGGCCACAGGTGTTCCTAGGACAACAATGTGTGACCTCAGGGAAGCCATAGTTATTGGCCCTGGGTGACAACAAGGAAGGCATGGCAGAGTGCCAGCCTCAGGTTTGCTGCCTCCTCATCCCCAGGGCTGGAGGGGATGGGTGGTAGCCATACTGTCTGACTTAGCACTGACCAGCCCTAGGATTCCTTTAGCAATCAGGGCTGGCTGAGTGTGGGGTGCTCCAGGGGGGAACCCTGTCAGAAGCAACAGGGATGGGCTCTTGATACTTACATTAGCTCCTCATTAAATAAGCAGTGAGCAGCAGTGACAATCCACCACTCGTTGATGATCGTGCCGCCACAAAAATGTTCATTTCTTGTCTGAATACTCACCAGCCATGGAAACTCACCCACCTCAGCCTCCATCCCCTCTATGATTCTGGAATACTGAGGTCCTCCCTCAAAAATGGGTCTTACACCACATTCTGGCAGAATGGAAGACAAAGGAAGGGAAAAGATGCAATGCTTAGTCAATAGCCATAGGAGGCTTCTAAGTAGCTACCATTATACCCATTCTAGACATAGAGAAACTAAGGCTGCCCCAGGGAAGCAGCCTAGGAAGACGAGTAAGCTGACAGATGCTTTTGTTGCACAGGGCTTGAGACATGGGTCAGAAATGTTGGCTCCGTACCCCCTCCAGCATTGTGATCTCAGGCAAGTCACTTCACTGAGCTTGTTTCTGCTCTTATCAAAGAGAAATCAGAGGAAAATACTTGTCCAGCACTAACTGTGGAGTGGTAGACAGAATAACACCCCCCAAAAGATGTCCATGTCCTAATGGACCACATCCTGGGACTTGTGGATGTTGCCTTACAAGGCAAAAGGGATTTTGGAGATAGAATTACAGTTGCTAATCAACTGACCTTAAAATGGGGTGATTATCCTGGATAATCTGAGTGGGCCCAATGTAATCACAAGGGTCCTTAAGAGTGGTAGAGGGAGGCAGAAGAAGAGAGATGAGGCTTTGGAAGAAAGGCCCGGAGAGACGCAATGGTTGGCTTTCAAGAGGAAAGAAGGGGCCACAAGCTAAGAAATAGGGATGATCTCTAGAAGCTAGAAAAGGCAAGGCAAAGATTCTCCCCAGAGCCTCCGATGGGAATGCAGTCCTACCAACACCCTGATCTTAGCCCAGTGAGACCATGTTGGATATCTGTCCCACAGAACTATAAGAAATTTGTGTTGTTTTAAGCCACTAAGTTTATGGCCCTTTATTACAGCAGCCATAAGAAACTAATACACATGGGAAACCAGAGGGGTGGCCCAGAAAGGGCCTGAAGCCACTGGAAGACCTGAATTGTTCTAAGTTAAAACATTCTGTTCCAGGCAGAGCAGCTCCATTTCCTGGGAGGCTGAGGACAAAGGCTGCAGCTGCCTGTGTAGAGAAGAGAAATCTGCCTTCTGGACAGAGTACAGGTCCAGCTCCTAGTCCCCAGGAGAGGAAATACTCCATGAATATTTGTTGAGTCAGCCTCTTCGTGGCCAATTGGTTCATTAATGAGCTCACTAACCAACTGTCTCCCTTTGCCCCAAATGATCACTACTGACTGGGTGAAGGGGAAGGGAGTAGGGCCATTGTCGTGCTCGGCCCTGCCTGGGAGAGCTGCTCTGGCCAATGGGAGAGGGGACCACATACCGAGATATGCGCCCTTGGCTTGGGACATGAGCAGCAAAACTGACAACAGGAGCATGGCCCTTGGCTCTGCTGTTGGTTTAAGAAGTGATGGAGGCAAGGGCTGAGGGGAATGACCCCAAGGAAGCCTCCTTTTTTATGGCCAAACCCAGCTGGCGATGTCACAATGGACTGTGGGTTTGAGAACTCAGACAGGTAATGCAGTTATCTCCTTTGGCCATTTGTTTCTAAGATGGTTGCACAGACGTACCTCATTCTTGAAGCTGTCTTGTCCGAGCTTCCCTTCCCACTAACTGGGGCATGGCCTGCCTTTCACCGAGTCCTTGATGGGCACCTTGCTTTTGGCCCCTGACATAAACAGCCTATTTGAAGACTCAGATGCCTCGTCTTCCATAGAGCCTGCAGCTGCTCCTTGGCACCCAGGTGTCCACTTGCAGGGTTGGGCCAGCCTGTTGTATGGCCATGGATGGTGCTATCCCCACCTGTTCTGAACAGTACTTCACCTGCTTTCTCAGACAGAAAATCCTGGCTCTGACGAAGGGCTAAGGCTCTCTTTAACGGCATGTGGGTAAAGGTCCCAAAGCTCATCAGGTCACCTGTCCCTGGTCCCACCACTGGGAAGATACAGGCTTTCCCTCTGCACTTCCTTTGGATTTACCTCTCTCCCTCCCCCGGCCCTGCTGCCACCTCCTGATAAATGCCCATGGCTTCTCCTTTGCTCGGGTTCTGTTGGTTCTGGGGGTGCAGAGGGAAGAGGAGCCTGGGCCCGAGGTCTGATTGGGAGGATGAAGGATGACAGCTAATCTCACTGATGGAAAGGCATTGACAGGCACGTCCACTCTAAACTGCTACTTATTTTCTATAAAAGTATCTGAACAAAATCACAGCTCACCCCTGGGAAGATCCATTGCCTTTTGGGTCTATTAATCTCTCTTATTAACATGACTTGGGCCTTACTTCCCATGAAATATCCATTCACGGTCCAGCATTTCTTTGCCAAGCTTCTTTACAGTAACAATGGACTGCACCATGCCTGAACTGGTAGAGGGATGGACAGCTGGGGACAGAGCCACCATGCCCAGCAACAACTCCAGAGGGTACCATTCTTATAGACGACAATGAGAATGGCTATTTCTGGGATTGGGCAAACATGGGGGCCTGGGTGTGGAGAGAAACTCCAGTGCACTATAAGGAATCTGTAGAAATTCAAAGAAAGGAGGCCCGTGATGACATAGTTTGCCCAGGATTGCTGCCTGGCTGATGCTCAAGAATCCCCGAGGGTGGCATTATGGGAGTGACTTTATTTACCACCATCCCAGCCAGCAGTCCTGTAACTTTGGTGGACAGCCTAGGGAGCTTGTTTAGCGCAGATTAAGGTTGCCAGATTTAGCAAATCTATAGGATGCCTGCTTACATTTGAATTTCAGATTAAGAACAATTTTTTTTTTTAGTCTATGTATACCCCATGCAATGTTTGGGATATGCAGTGTAGCTGCCTTCTCAGCCTGTATAGCTCACCAACCACAATACTTTTATATTCAACCTTTTTAGTATCTCTCAATTACATCTGTTTCTTGATAACTCCACTGTTATGGGCTGAATTGGGTCCCCCTTAAATTTCATATGTTGAAGTCCCAAGCCCCAGTACCTCAGAATGTGACCATATTTGGAGATAGGGTTTTTAAAGAGGTGGTTAAGTTAAAATGAGACCCCCGCCTCAGGGCAGGGCCCTAATTCAATATGACTGGTGTCCTTATAGGAAGAGACACCAGGAGTGTGCGTGCACAGAGAGAGGACCATGTGAAGAGGCAGCAAGAGCGTGGCCATCTGCATGCAAAGGGGAGAGGCCTGGAAGAGGTCCTTCCATTATGGCGCTTAGAAAGAACCCAACCCTGTCCACACCTTGATCTTAGACTTCCCAGCTTCCCAGAACCAGAACATTTCTGTTGTGTAAGCCACACTGTCTGTGCTATTTTGTTATAGCAGCTTTGGCAAACTAATACAACCACCTTCCTTCTTACTTTAGGCCACTACCATCTTTCATCTGTATTATGGAGCCACTTCCCAAATGATATTCTCTTTTCTAGCTTCATCCTCTCTAAAATAATCTCCATGTTGCATCCAGAATAATCTTTTAATGCACATGTGACTATATGGAACTGCTTTCATTCCACCATTCTCCCCAGTAACCTCACAATGAAGTCCAAATCTCCTAATAAGTTATAACAGGCTTTGAGATCTGGTTCCAGAGACTATGGAAACTTGCCCAAAGACCCAAAGCTTCTTAATGCCAAAGCAGATGCCAGAATGCATGGCTCCTCGAGAGGCTCAGAGTCAAGGGTGAAGGGGAAGTGTACACACAAAAGTTTGCCTGAAATGGTTTCCCGTGAGTCCCCACTGCAGAATGAACACAGACAGGGAAATATTGGGCTGTGACGCAGACTCAGCTAAGCCAGGTTACCTTGCATCCCCTGCTTCTTCCCTAACCCCAGGCTTACTGTGATGTCACCCAGGGCCAGCTCTGCCATACATCTGTGATGGCCCCAACTGAAGCAGCTGCAGCTGGCATTTTATCAGCGTGGGCTAGAGGCACAGGTTGGGCAATTCCGGGCTGGAATGAAAAGAAGATGCTACAGCTTCTAATTTCACTGCTCATGGTGCTCAAGGGATATGCCCAGGAAGATCCAGGTCTGTGCCCGGCAAACCCAGAGCGAAGGATGGGGAGAAGCCTGCAACCTCTGACTTGGCTCCTGAAGAATTCATTCAGAGGCCCAAGCGGGTGGTGGGTTAGAGTAACAGCTCAGGAAATGAGGAGATTACAATTAATCAATCAAAGTAGATTCATTGGGCTCAGTGAATATGCCATTTAAAATGATGCCCCAGGGTCTGGACCCAAAGTTCTGGAAGTACAGGCGACTTGGAGCAACCGTTTGGCTACTGCCTTTGTTTCTCCACTCCCCTCTGCGTAAATGCATTAAGGGTCTTTCTGGGCCTAACAGTCTGGGAGAAGCTGTTAGGAGCTGTTGTGGTGGAATAAGGGCCTTATTTAATTTAGGCCACCTACATTAAATTACGTAACCTCATAAAGTGGGAAAAGTTATAGAGCTATTGCAGGAGCAGATGAGTTAATGCAGAATTTCCCCCACGTATGTTCTATAGAGCCTCTGTCCTGTTAGAAGCTGCACAGAAAAAAGCTCTATTGACAGGTTTGGAGGTGCTCCATTCGACGCTTTTTCTGTAGAGTCACAGTGAATCTTCATGTTGTAAAGTTTCTGAGAAATCTCACAGTAACAAAAATGGTTTAATGTTATTTAATCTAACATTTCTGAAATGTATCTAAGCACAGGGCCACTCTTTACCCCCACTCCAAGCCTTATTCATAATATTTTCTATTTACTCTTATGAAAATTACCGGTTCCTATATTTTCCCATTTTTTTTCCTATTTGAGTGGATGTT